AACTTAGGTTACTTAAGATTCGTCAAACGTACAAATTGATATACAAAGAAACAAGTATTTTGTACGAAGGCATATGAGTATTATATATATATGTGTGTGTGTGTGTTAGTGTATACATTTATTTATGAATATATATGTGCACGCATGATTGCTTTCTAATTCGAAATGCAGACCTAACTAATTTGTTGCTGTGCTGCAAATTAATATTAATCGAACTCCAACCAAGTACTCTTCTTCTCGATTCTCAAGAATTCAAGTAGGTTCTGCAGTTTTTCATGCTTAGATAGTAGTATGTTAATTTTTTTCTTTTGTTGTATTTATTGTTTTTGCTTTGTATGTACATGCATGTATGTATGCATGTATGTACTAACGGCACTTAAGTCTATATTTAAGTATAACTCAGACAGAGCTTTAATAGAAGTTTTTTTTTAATATCCAATTTAAATGCCTGTCTAGAGTTAAGTAGACGTTGTTTGTAGAACTTAACAAACTATTCCAGTCGACGGCTATAACATTGTTCTATCGTAATTGTGACGTCACTTATGCAGAAGTTTCTTGTTGCAACTGAAGTCGCTCGAGCGGAATGTGGCACAAGATGTTGTGCAGTCTTGACGGCAGGGCCTTGGGCCTTGTCACAAGACAAATGCAGTTGCCCAAAAAATGGGGGAAAAGGCAAGAAGAAGGGCGACCGCAATGCTTGTGCAAACTAACGGATGCGGCGCCTAGCTACTGTTCCGCTTTCCTGTTGCTGTTACCGTTACTGTTAGCATTTATAACCCCGCCTCCCCTCGTCACCTGTATAGCTCTTTGGTAGTAGCCGCACCCGCAACAATGTTGCATAATGGGGCAACGTTTAGTGTGAAATTCTTTTAGCGGTTTTTCGTGCGCCTTTGACTGTACCCCCTGCACCTGCCTTTCCCCCCCCCCCCCCCCCCCTAACTAAGCTTTTCTTTTGAAATTGCGCACATAAACTAATTTTGCATGCATGAAATGATTTTCATAGTAGAGTACAAATGAGAAAATTGCAGAGTTGCCGCCAGCAGCTGGCAGTGTTGTCGCCCCTCAATGGCCGGGCATATGCTCCATCCATTAGGGTTAAGTTGCGTGCCTCATGCGTTCTGTGCTGGGCCTGGCCCCACACGCTAATTGTGTCACAATGATGAGCATAATTTGCGCGCCCAGACACACCAGGCTTGGGCAAGTGGGCGGTGGGGGCGGAGACGGGCCACCGTTAGAAAAGCGCAGTCGGAAATTAAGCATACGCCCCGTGCGCGCGAGTCTGTGCTTCTGTGTGTGTGTGTGTGTGTGTGTGCAACATTTATGCACAATGGCAGCACTAATTTTCCGTTAGTAAGTAATTGCATTTTGTTTGCCACTTTGCAGCACGCTTTAGCTCACCTTACACCCGCTCACCCCACTCATTCCGCGTTCTTGTTGCATTTAGTTGGATATTGTGCTCATTACTGGCATTTCATTAAATGTAACCGGAAGCCTTACAGTTCGCTCGTCAACTTTTTGGCGTATCCATTACTTTGTGTGGCGTCACTTGATCCTAATGCAAACCCCCAGCGCCCACCCCTCGAAGCCTGTGTCTACATTTTGGCAGCAGACACCGCTTTTAATTAGCATCAAACTTCCATGCTGTCTGCTCCTGTATCGTTTTGTTGTGCCAATTTAAATGGCTACACACAGACACACACATTGCACGCACACTCACACGCTTAGCTACGCCTTTCATATAAAATATGCTGTCATATGTTTGGCTCACGATGAATGATGCCGCCAATTGTTTGGTTTTTGTTTTGTTTTTGTTGGCACATTGCAAACACTGAATGTTGGAAAAGTGGAATAAGCTTAGCAAACCAACCACCCACCCAACCCCCCTGCCCGTCAACTTCAACACCCGCAACCCTTAGCTGCCGGCCCCAGCCTATTCGTTTTGGCAGTAAACATTTTCGACTTGACAGCAGCCTTACGTATCTCTGCTGCCTGTCAGTCGTTTGCCCAAAAACTCTGTTTTTGTATTCTCTGTAATCGTTAAGCGATTTCTTGTACTGCCGCCGCCCCCGCAGTTCCCGCTCGCCACTCGGCCCTGTGTGGCCTCTTTTGTTTGCCTGCCTCGTACAAGAAAAGTAATTTTATGTAATTTGTTAAGTAATATCCTTCGCTCTGTTTGCCTGCATGTCTCAACAGGATGTGGCTGTGCGAGTAGTATGTGGCCATGTAGCCTGTGTGGCTGTAACTTGATGGATTTACTGCTGCTCTGCTGCTACTGCTGCTGCTGCTGCTTACTGCTTACTGCGGTTCCTCTGCAGTAACTCGGCTGTTAATTAGAAAACGAAAACATCAAAGTGCCATTGTCGCAGCTTAAAGTCGCTTGAGCTTCATCAGTTGCCAACTGATTTTCACAGCACTCGAAAATCTTTGCGGTTTTTTTACTCTTCCTATTTATTTTGTGCAAAATCGAAATGAACAGTTCCGTAAAACTTCTAAATAGGATAGAGAATTCCATTAGACTGAACTGTTATATCTTATTTTTTATTTGACATATGTCCTTCTATATTTTGTAAAAATCTTTCTTAAAGTTTACAATTATCAAGCTAGGCAGACCGCGAAAGCATAAGGAAAACTTGTACCCATAACTATTTGTTTTTAAAACAGACAACAAGAAAAGAAGCTTCTTCATATTTTGGGTGCTGGCAATAGCGCAAGTTGTGTCGGTCCACTCTCTAAATAATAAATATACCAAGTTATGTTGATTAAACATATTTCTGTTGCCTCGAGTCGAGGAATTTGCACACAATCCAGACCGCATACAACTCAAGCTAACAGTCATAATTGAAACGCTTTTTCGATTGTCTCGCCTTGTCGCGTGCAACATGTGGCATGAGTAATTATGTGCTGGCGACCAATCAAACTGCTGTCAACAAAGCCATAGCCATAGCCAGAGTCCTTGCCTCGTGGCCCAGACTCCATGCAATTAAAAATTTGCACTTTGGGCCAAAAGCCTTTTTGGCTCACGTCGCACAAATTGTTTGTACGTGTTTTTTCTTCGCATTGTAATAACAACAACAATATGAACAAGAATAACAACAACAATAAAGCATGCCACAACAAGCGTTGTGCTCAGCCCTTTTGCTGCTTTCTAATTGGAAACGCTTTTCATTATAGCGCAAATGAAAATCAATGTTCGACATGGCTGTCCTTTGGTTTGAGTAATTAAACACAATCAACTGGCAAGTTTTCCCTTTTACCCTTTTTTGTTTTTATTTTTGCTGCTCTTAATAAATCGCACTGCAGGACAAGTAATGGCTGGGAAAGAGTTCAGCTCAGTTCAGGATCGGTTGGGGGGCAGCAACAAATCCTCAGACGGTCGGCGCCTTAATCCAAACACACACGCACACAAATCAATTTGCCCCAGGGCTGAGCTCGAGTCCTGCCAGTGAAAATGAAGCAATAAATAAGCGGTAATTGGAAGTGATGAACGAAAGGATATGCTGCCCGGGCGAGAACAAGCCGCAGGCCACACTCCGGCCAGAGGCTTGGACCACGGACCAAGGACCAGGGAGACTGCACTGCGCTCAAATCTCTAATCAAATGTCAATTTCTTATTCAATAACAACAACATATGAGAAAAGTCTTGGACCCTACCACTTTCCACAATTGTCGAGTGTGCGGGCGTGCGAAGAGAAATATAACTAAGGAGTAAATCTCTTAACGATTCGCTGCCTTCCATTGCACAGCAGCAGCCGGCATTGTCCTTGGTCGCATGTCCTTGACGTAGTATAAGCCATTAAATGTGCTTTTTGGCCAATTATTACGCGCGATTTATGCTTTTATTTGTCAACAAAGTTAACAGCAAACGAAGCAAACTATTAGATATCGTGAGAGAAGGGAAGCTGTTCAAGTTTAAGTATTGCTCGCTGGTGGGTCAACAAGCGTGTAATAGACGTTGCAGCTGGCTGTGAGTGGATTATTTTTCATATAAAGCTTGCTTTAGCTACAAATCGATAAGCGGACACGAAAACTTGTGTGTGTTTAGTTAAATTCTTGCAATGCTTTCATGTTTTTTTCTCCGGATTTAGTTGGAGACTTAACAACATCAATTGTTCGATGTACTTTGGGAAATGCTTGTAGCAAGAAAAAGTTATTTATTTGCTTTAAATGCACTGCGAACTTTGAGCAGCTTGTAGCCTGATGAAAAGCTTTAACTTTAATGAATTCGTGCTTTTTTTATACATTTTTACTGCTCACACTTAGCTTTGATTCATTTTCATAATGCTTAACTGTATGAGTTAAATGCTATCATCACAATATTGTCTCTCATGATTTAATGTAATGCTGTTAAGTAATGCTTATTATATTGAGTAGGTTCTTGGGTTGGGTAAGGTTAAGGGTTAAGGGCAAAATAAGGGAAATGGGAGAGGTGCATAACAGAAAAGTAGAGAAATTAGTTATAAATATAGAGTTGAATATCAGCTATGACATGTACCTATTTAATATAGATACTTAAGAAGGATGAAGGATAAATAACTGGATACAGGAACATAGATAAATAAGAGTAGGGAAAGTTTACGGATAGCGCAAGGAAGATAGAATGAAGAAGAGAAAAAAGAGAAATGGATAACAATACAAAATAATAATATGAAACTTAAAAGCAACAAGTGAAGTTAGTTTGATTAAAGAAAATAGCTTAAAGAAAATCATTAAGAAAAACCAACGCATTAACCATTTTCACAGGTTACATATTAAATATATATTTTTTTTATGAATCGACTTAAAATCTTTTGCAATTTAAGAAACTATTTTAAATCTGCTGTTATTTTTACTCAAACATACTTTCAACTTGTTTTGCCTACTCAAGGTCCACGCTTTTGCTTACATAGTCTTAAATTTGCATTTATTTGGTTACAAAAACAAAAATGATGATCAGCTTGAACTTTGCTTTTTTTCCACGAATTTTAATTTTAATTTGCACATTTTTTCTACCTTTTTTTTAGCACAAGAATCTGCGAAAAATGATAATAATAAACCACAAGGTAATATGCACTCCAAAATTTCTAGTCATAGATGTGTAGATTTAGATTTAAGTTTGCATGCCGTACGCGGAAATTGCCTGGACTTTTCCATTTTCATTTTTAATAGTTTTCTTTATTTTTGTGTCTTGCTTTGACAGCAATTTAAATAATCATATTTTATGCGAATGGCTTTCAAAATGTCGTTAAAATAGATGTCATGCCTGTGTCCCCTGCTAGCTGTTGTTTTTGTTGTTTTTCTTGTTTTTGTTTGTGTAGCTTGGCATTAGAGGTTGCCTTTGTCATTGTCATCGTTAGAGTCCCTGCCGTTCGCCTTGCTCGCCAAATGCAGCCGACAGCCAAAAGTAATGATAAAACGCAGCGGGTTATCATTTTCATATTGAGACATTTGCGAACCCGAAACGGCCTCAGCCCTAAGCCACAGCTTACAGAGGGGTAAGGGAGGGGGGAGGCAGGGTGTGTAGCAAGATTCAAGGATGCAATATTGAAAATCCCTTTGGCATTGACTGCACTTGTCTGAAGTCTAGAGTCTCTCGTCTGGTTTCTAGTCTCCAGCTTCAGCTGAAGCTTTCGCCTCGACTTTGGCCTTGTCCTCAGTATTGGCCTTTTTGCTCGGTTGCCGTCTGTTATCATCTTTGTAATTGAATTCAGCAACAACACAATAAATTTTGTGGCACTAAGCAAGTGGAGTGGGCGTGGCTGTGACACTAAAAGGGCTGCCAAAAAACACACAACATTGTTGATGGGAGAGGTGAGGAGAATGGGCGGCTTGTTTGTTTTTACTGCAGTAAAAAAGGGAAAATTTAATTTCTGGCCCGAATAATAAATCACAAACATAACACAGCGAATGGTCGAAGAAACGTGGCACAAACAAATAAAACAGCGTAAAATGTTTCAGCCTGGAGGACACTTGATGTCGCCAGAGATAAAATCCCCCCACTTTGCGGCAGCTCTGTTGACCAAGGGCAGGGCGGGGTGGTCGCTGGCCGGGTGAAAGTGGGGCTTGTTGCCCAATTTGAAATGCGTTGTCGATGGCCATCGTCGAGCGCGTTGTGCTGTTGCATTTATCAAAAATTGTATTTCCTGCCACGCTGCCATATGGCCAAGGAATTGCCTCTCCTCCCTCAGCTCCCTAGTATAATAGTATATTTTATTTATTTTGACAGGCGGTGGAGGGAAGGTAGGGGATGTAAGGGGGTTGCATGCTGCTTGAACGAGTTGAGCGAATGTTTGCTTTATTAAATTTTTACGCAAATGTGCGACACGCGCATATGAATAATAACAACAGGCAGTAAAATAACAAGAGTGCACGACTAGCAGATATCACGCAAAACACATGATGGCAGATGATGGCAAATAGGCAAGAAGCAGGCGCTCGCCTAGTAGATACCCCTTACCGTATCATTCTTACAATTTTAAATGATGCCTAAGATTTTGCCCTATCAGCTAACGCATCCCATCTTGTTTGCATGTCAAGTACAGGGTATATTAAGGACAAAAGACAACAATGTCTTATAGTGCTCTTTAGCAATGCAACAAACATAAATAAATACACACGCATTACGCGGGTGTGTTCCCATTCTAGGACCGTTTCGTATTTATGCAAATGAAAAGTGGACAATTTTTATGCGCAGATCATTTTTTATGGGCAACGCACAACTGATAGATGACGTTTTTGGCTGGGGCGTAAGGGGCGCGGCTGACCCACTCAGCAACAGCAGCAGCAATGTGCTGAGATTTTTATGATAGTGTTGCCGAGGATACACACACCCCCACACACACAGCCATAAATAATGCTGCAAAGCCAAAAACAAATACGAGTAGTAAACAGAAATTGTGAATAATATGCAATAATGCAAAAGGCCAACAGTAGGGGTATTCCGCAACTGCCAACAGCTGGGATATGGCATTGCAGTCGCATATCGCAAAAAAAGGTGACTCTGGGGAAAGATACACACAACCATCTCGCCCACGCTTTGGGGGTCCTCTTGCTCCCGTTCCTGTGCCTCTTCCCGTTCCTGTTCCTGGTCGCATGTGTGCGTGCAAGTGTTTGGCTGGCTTTAAGTCACAGCAGGACGTGACATCGTTGCATAGCATTTGCATAACTATATGACCACCAAGAGGCAGCCACATCAGCGACAGTCTCCACTGCCAAACCCACACCCCCTGTCCTCTCCCTCTTCGCCGCAAACTACCCTGCACAGTCTGCTGCTCTAGCGCCCGCTATTTTTATCATTTCCGTTTTTTGTATGACACATTTTTCCTTTTTTTTATTCTTCTCATTTTTTTTTCCTCTGTAACGCGCTTGCATAATTTTCATTGTTTTCATTTTATTCGCGAATTTTCTGCACTCTGTGCTTGTTTTTTATGATTTTATTTCACTTCTTGTTTTGTGGACCGTTTCCTGCTCTGATTTCTGTTTGCATTTCAAGTTATTCGCCTGAGAGATTTTAGTGTGTAAAGTAATAAAACTTAAGCATAAAGGCGTTAAAGCAGTTCCAAAAGAAGCGCGACTCTGCAGCAAAGAAAGCGGAAGGGAGGCGGGTGGAGGGTGGAGGGTGGAGGGAGGCAACATTATGAGAGCTGGTGCCTCCGGTGTGCTCCTTTCAGTTTGAGTGCATCCCTGAAACTGGCCATATAACTTTATGAATGCCGTAAAAGTGGAAAAAGTAACCAATTTTATGCAAAAACACGAGAGTAAATATCAAAATGTAAATTACGTTTCTGACATCAAATTCGATAGTTCCTGAAGCAACGAAAGTTCAAACATTTTGTTTGAGAAATAAACCTTTTAGCTTCAATATTCATATTCATGTTAATATTCATTGCAAATTTATTTAGACTAACAATGTTGCACATAAAATATAACGAAAATAAATATAGCTAAAAAGTCTTGTTTAAAAGTAAAGTATATTTTAAGCTGTCCGGCAAGAGGTCAATGTTTGGTTTAGAACGACCAACATCAAGAGTGAGCAGGTTGTGTGTGCAACTCGTTCAAGAAGCTCCCAGCTCGATGAAAAATCTTATTTGTAATTATTCAGAAATTGTTTGTGTACGCAACTTCCATGTACATTCTGTACAGCATACAATAGGTTTATTAGTCCATTATATTTGTGATAAGCAAAATAAGCTAGGCAGATTGAAAGAATCTTGTCGAAGAAAACTGATATCTAAGAATCTCAATCTAAGTTAGCTTGAGCAACTGCTCGTTGCCTCGTGTGACTCTAATAGGTTTCAGTCGGAATTAACAAAGTATTTAGGCGCAGCCAACTTAACGGACACATGCAACATAATTTAGTGTTGCCAGATCGCTTAAGTAACAGAAGAATATCGATTTCTAAATGTGATTATGTCAGCTCAACTGATTTTAAGTGTGTTATTAGAACGTTATGCCCGTTGCCCTAGTTGAAACACTTAGCAAAACCCCTCAATCAATATCTATGCTCATTCTACAAGCGTTGCCAACTGTTCCATTACGAAGCCCATTTGCAGACATTATTATCATTGGCGAATGATTATCGCTGGCCTTTTGACATTCGCCAGCTCGAATTGCCATTGGCATTGTTGGCAGCTCTCAGCCAGAATAATCACGAGTATTCGAATTTTTAGAACTTTCTAATAGAGGAAATAAATGCGGGCCGGGCAAAGACAGGAAAAATCTCTCCCGCTCGTGTTGGCAAATGTGAGTCGTTTTTCCAATTTTACAGCCACTTTGCCAATGCTCAGTCAATTTTTGCAAATCAAATGGTTCTCAGCTCTTCTTCTAGTTCTACTGAATATTGTTTTTGTTGTACTTGCTTTTGAGCTTTTGAGCCAAGACAGCTGCCAGGACGACGAAGCTTGAGGCGCTAAACGAGGATGGAGGCTGGAGGATGCTCGACTCAATTCCTTTTTTTATTGAACTTTTCCTTGGTTCTTTTCTTTTATTTGGCTCATTTATGGCGCATATTGCGCATTTAATCGCCGTCAACATTTGCCATGTAACGGCCATGGAATATGTGCGCTTCTTCTAATATGTACATATGCCGTAGACTTCGAGTGTGTGTGTGTGTGTGTGGATGTGTGTGGCACATGCGATTCACAGTCGGATTAGCTTTCAACGAGCGTCCGTTTCGCGCAGACAACGTTTCATATCCTGATATCCTGCTGCCGGCAAGTTTGCCCAAAGTTTTTGCCGCCGCTGTCGCTTTTCCTGCAGCTTCTGCCCCTGCTCCTGTTTTTACTCCTACTTCTACTCCTGGTCCTGCTGCTGCTTCGGCTCCTGTTCCGCCTCGCACAATCAGCTGCTGTTGAAATTTTAATTTTTATGTTAGTAATTTCTCAACATTCTGTTTGACTGTCTGGCGGCGTGGCAGCGGCAACAGGAAGCTCTTTCCGAGAGAACATCTTGTGCGCGCATATTAAATTTACTTTTATTTAGTTTTTCTTTGCTTTCTATATACCCTGTATATCCTGAAAACGGATGTTACACGCAGCTGGCGGCATTTCAAATCCTACAAAGTATATATATATATTTGTGATGGATAAACCTATCACCATCGAAATAAGTTGACCTTAGAAATGGCCTTAAATATTAAAATCGTTTTAGTTTTGATTCAAGAGTGTTTCACACCAGGGTAACACCTAGTCGAGAACTCTCCACCCAAATAGTTAGTTATTTTTATACGCATATCTCTGTGTTGGGCAGGCGTGAAAATAAAATAGGACCCTGAGCAGGTTCAGACGGAGGTAACAGACATTCTTGAATGCGCAGTTTCGTGAGTGGAGTTTCTTCTCATTTTTGTTTTTATTATGGTCAGGCCATTGACTGTGGCATTTATGTATGTGCATATATAAATATATAAGTGGGCTGTAAGCTGCAAATGTGGGTTAAATATCCAACTGGAATGCAATTCCTTAGCTTTGCCCAAAAGCTTAGGCTGCGAAATTGAAACGCGAGGTTAAACAAGTGTGGCCCAGGAGAGTTTTTCATAGCGTGCCAAAAGGAAGTGGAAAATATGTCTGCAAGTTACGAATTCCCTGACAATATAGGCCGCAGTTGCTGTGAATATTGCGTTTATACTTATTACTGCAGGCAATATTTAAAGTCTTAAAGTATTTGTTATTGATTTACAAAAATGGCAACAAATTATTTGCAGCGTATTTTATGCCATGTTCATTTGAATTGGAATTGCGACTGGGTTATTGCCGACTCGTTGCACACGCGCGTGCATTGACAATATATATAACTCTTGCTGCCACGCCCACTTGCGTGGGCACCTAGCACACGAGGCGGGCTTTGAGCTGTAACAAAACCAATTTACGAGAAGCGCAACTGAAACTGCGCTGGCAACTGCCGCCAGCCACAACTATATTATATAAATATTTCAATAAAGCCACACAGATACACACGCCCGCCCGCACACACGCACACACGCACACCCACACGTGTCTGCAGCTGGCACATGGCAGAGCAGCAGTCACGGGAGCAACTGCATCCACAGCAGCAGCAGAAGCAGAAGCAGAAGCCAACACGATGCCAAAAGCAAACATAATTTAAAATGTAATTAGTGCTCAAATAGAAAGCCAAACAAACAGAGCAAAGCCCAGTTGGTAGCGGTGGGAGTGAAGTGCACAGCTACCTGTGTTACCTGGTGTATGTGTGTGTGTGTGTGGGGGGCGCGTGGGCGTGGCAGTGGCAATGCAAACAAATTGCTAAAGCAAATGAAAGCCGCTTGGGTAGCGGCCCAAGTCAATGAATATCACCGGGTTACTAGGTGACCCACTGCCGGATCGCCGGATTGCACTCTGGACACATCCCAGCGGGGGGCAGCGACAGCCACGCCCTCAATTACAATTGCAGTGCAAAAAAAAAAACGACTTTGTCCTAGACCAACTTTCAACTGACTGCCAGTTGCCAGTTGCCAGCTGCCATCTGCCAGCTGCCATTTGCCACCTGCTGGCGTTGCTATTTTTCTTTTGAAACATTTTTATTATATTTGCTGCTATATTATTCAGAGCTCTCCGGATGCGTTTCGTTCCGGTTTCAGTTTCGGTTTCGTCTGTCTCTCTGTCTGTCTGTCTGTGTGTCTGTGTGTGTGCGTGTAAACATGGCATATTTTTTGTCGAGTTGCCACCGTGTTGTTGCATTCAGCGGTTTCAAGGCTCTCGGCGCTAGCTATTGATGATGCTGCAGTGTGCCCGCCTTCCACCGCCCCCGCTTGAGGTTAATGATGAAACTTGTTAACAACTCGCAATTCGGAACGTGCAACTTGCAACTTGCAACTTGCCACTACCAACTCGCAACTCGACCCGGCTGCGCTCATTATGCAGTGCAGCCAGAATATCCTTTTTGGGCCGCAGTTAACAGCACTCGACGCTGCTTGAAGGTCCTTCAGCTGGCCATTTGTCGGCATTCGCTTTGTTCTGGCGCCCTTCTGCTGCCACTTCACAGTGCGCTGTGTGGGCGTGGGACACTAATTTAGATTTTAAGTAGTCTTCCTCAGCACTTGTACAACTCATTAAGCTGCACATTTTTTGTTTTAACTTAAGCTCACTTCTTTGCTTTGCTTCTCTCTCTCTTTGGTTCTACAGACTGGCGCAGCACGGACAGCACCGACCATCACGATCGTGTACAGCGACAATTGTCGGTATCGTCGGACAGCAAGCTGCTGGATGAGGACATCAGGGAGGAGATGAAGTATCACTCGCATGTCGTCATGCGACCCAAGAAGCCGCCCAGACCCAAGTCCGAGGTGTTTCTCAACAAACAGGATCCACTTCCGCGACGAAAACGTTTCAGTGCATTTGGTGTAAGTACTTCAAAGCATTTTCTCCACTCGCATCAATTTCAATCAATTTTCGCACTCACATTGTCTAACTGTACTTTATGGCTGGTCATTTGATGAAGGTACATACATATATATCGTTATATAGAGCTGGTCTCAATATATATATATATATAGCTAACTTTGTTTCTATGTATGTTTGCTACTTTCCCATTGAAGCGCTTAAATCGCTGCATACTTCTGCGCGCCGTCTGCGCACATTTGCGCGCTTGCAATTCTCAAATGGTTTTAGTTGTGTTTGCATCTAGTCCACGCTCTAGTGAAGGATAAATTGAATTGAAAATATTTTTATCTCTTTGAAATTTGTCCTGGTGGGACCCTTTGCTTAGGCATTGAGTGTTCCGAATAAATAAATACATTAAATAAAAGCAATTGGCTTGAGTTAATATTTCTGATTTGTGCAAACAGCACTCAGAGCAAGCCGCAGGGAATGCTCGTCAGGGGAGAAGTTTGGAAGGGAGCTTAGGAGACACTTCTTGTTTCGTATATTAATTCACGATAGATTTCAATGATAGTGTTATGTGTAATTTCTGCCCGGCTTTTTCTGGCTCAAGTATTTTTTAATAACTGTAATACCTGTTCAGCTTCCAACTGAGCTTCATTCTGCTTACGTTTTGTGTGTTATCAGTCTAAGGAAGCTTCTAAAAGATAGAAGAGTAATGAGTTATAGAAAATATTATTAATATTTAACAAAATTAAACCAAAAAGATTTAGTTATGCTCAAGAGTGCATACATTTTTAATAAGAGAATCCTCGTAGGTTCCGTAGAATGAATTGTTTTAGCCCTATCTTGCCTATACTCAAGTCAAGCTTCCAAGTTTCCAGCTATATGTTCCATAGGTCTACCGAGAGGGTTACAGATTCCAGTGCTGGCAATACAACTATTTTCTAGAAAAAATTGGGGTTTCGGAAGCTAATATAGCTTATGTAAGCCCAACCATGAAATAACTCACTTAGTTTTCTACATCCGACTTTTTTATTTAGTAAAAGTACTTAACAAATTATTGATTTTTGATTAAAAATGAATTTGTAATATGTCGGTTCACATTCATTTTTAATTTGATAAATAAATGAATGTAAATTGCATTTAAAATAACATGTAAACTTGCCAGGCATATGACAGTTTTTCCAGCCAGTTAACGGAAATTAAATAATCAAATTTAATTGAAAAGCGAATCATTCGCTTTTTTTTCTCTCTTGCTGCTGCATACTTTTGTGCAGCTGCTTTTAAAGTATTTGAGCGCATACTTTTCGGCAGCGCTTTAAAAAAAAATCACTCGATACAAATTGTTTATCTCATAAATTAACAAGAACTTAAAAACTCCTTTGGCTAATTAGAACATTTTGTCACACACACAGGGCGATTCACCATTTGGCAAGCAGGAGGCCTATGTTAAACTGGAACCGCTCGGTGAAGGCTCCTATGCGACAGTCTACAAAGGATTTAGCAAGTGAGTACAATCACACACACACACACTCAAATACATACATACATATAGAGAGTGGGCAAACGGAAGCCAACTGTGCGCCATAAATCAACGAAGCGGGCCACCTTGTGGTCCTCAAATTGGGTTGCCATGTCAGTGGGTTAGGCAAAATTATTGCTGTCGACTTACGGGCCCTGTCAGCCTCCCATGAATTTTGACGAGCTCCAAAACTGACGAATGGTCGCCCGAACGAGCGGGTGGGTTGGAGCTGGAGCTGCACTTGCTGCTGCGCCTAAATCAAATGCCTCTTAAGCAAAAATGTGTGACAATGCCGTCGCCTCTTTCCAGTTTTTCTCTTGATTTATTTACAAATGTTGTCCCGGCACATTTTGTTGCCTTATTTATTTATTTTTTCTCCTTTTCATTGCTGCCTTTTGCAGGCAGCCCTTTCCATTATAAACTAGCTAACATATATACTATTTGTATGGAGCTGCTGGCAGACTCATTACAGAGCCCGGCCGAGTTCCCGAGACCGAGTTGCAGACGCGCAGTCCCTTACCCAGTTGCCATGCAAATGCGGCTATCAATCAGGCGCTGGGCAAGCGGTGCGGGGTCCAAAGAAAAAATGGGTAAACAACAACAATGGACAGCAGCAGCAGCAGGAGCAATGCAAAACTACAATGGGGCGAACACGCTTAGCAACAAGCCAGAACGGCTGTGCCGAATACTAAATACACTTGTGGAGATAGAACTTAAGGGCTTGCCGATAAGTGTAGACTATAGAGAAGTGAAAGTGAGGTGAAGTGAGAGCTTAATTTGCATAGAAACAGACAGTCGGACTGACAAACATCGCAATATTGACGCGCTTGTTGAGGCCGATTAAGAATATACAGTGGGTGGACGGCATCGACTTATTTTTTGTACATTCAAAAATAGTTTTTCGTCTAATAGAAAGCAAATGGGCTGATCTGATTTTGAATTGTTTGAAATATAGTTTATATATGCAGTGAAAACTATACTATTAGATGGAAACCCCTATAAGAGCAAAGTTTTCACTGCAAATAAATTGAAAACTCTGTTGATGGACTTTTCCAAAAGACGATACACCTCTTTTGGGCCTGATGGCTCGTCAAGAGAGTTTTAACTGTACTTTACGGGGTCAGAGACATCTATGTTACACATTTCATGAAAAAATTATAATACCCTTACCAAGGGCATACAAATACTGTTTGTAAGCTCATTGGAATTGTTGTTGTTCCTGCTGCTGCTCCTGCTGCTGCTGTTCCTGCTGTTGATGCCGTTTTGTTGGGTCCACAATTGTTGTTTGGCTTTTTGGGATCTTGACGCACTTTTCAAAGTCTGTGCGTAACCCTTTTCTTTGCTGCTTGCCTTGACACAATTGAGTTGGCAGTCCCAGTCCCGCCCAGGAAACCAGCCCCCCACTCGTTCTCCTTAACAAATGCCGCCTCATTTGCGCCTGTTCTGATTTTGAGCTGGCTGCGTCTCTCATAATTTGACAAATGAGCCCAAGCAAAAAAAAAAAAGCAACAAGAACAAGCTTCGTCACTTTTTTGACAGCAGAGGCTACTTATATATATGTAAGGCAGTGTTGAGGAGTGGAGAGTGGTTGGGGGGGAGGTGTCTTGGGTGATGAATACCCTGTGCTGTCAGTTGCATTGGCCACGAGTCTTCGTGCGACTCACGTTTGCTGCCTGTTTTGCTGATTTATTTGACAATCATTTGCACAGCTCCAACCGCCGACCAGCCCGCCCTCGCCCCGCTCCCAACCTCAAGCTCACCCTCATACTGTTGAACTTCTTTAACAATGGGCATTTACGGGAAAAACAAGAAAAGTTGGTCTTCTTCTGGCTCTCATTAGGCATGCAGAGCGGGTCACATGCGAAATGAGTTCCAATTAGCTTTGTTTATTCGGAATGCAATTAATTCGCTCTAATTTATCTGGGCAAAAGGAAAAGTGTGCTGAAAATAGGAAATGGCAAACGGCAAATGGCAAATGGAAAATGCAAATGGCAAATTTGACAACTTGCGAGCTGCCTTTTCAGCTGAATTCGTGCGCTCTGCTTCGCCTGCTGATTAGCATTTCATACGCAGTACGCTGGATTTGGGTCAGCGCTTCGCTTTTGACTTTTGCTTGGCTTGGTTTTTGCTGCCGCTGCTGCTGCTGCTGCTGCTTTTGGCCAAGATTTATGCGTCCTGCTTTTTGGCCATCCTTCAGAGTTTACGCTTTGGCCTGCTGCGCTGTGCTGAGCGTCAATTGTTGAAGATTTCATGAATGATTTCACTTCTGTACTCGTTTTTCTCTTTGGGCTTCAACTTTTGGCCTTAACTAAATTCTGATTAGCATTTAGTAGGTCAACTGTCAACTGTAGCGCCATCTGGCGGCGGCTGCCAGCAGCCAATGAAGAAAACTTTTCTGCTTGACGGCAAAAGTTTCGACGACTTTCGGCGCTTAACAAAATCGTATTATTTTTACATTAACGTGAACTAAGTTTCGCATATCCTTCCACATGGCTGTCATAAGTGCTTCGAGCACTCTGCGTGCTCTTATCGAATGCCTGGCACGCCCCCGCTATAGCAGCCGCCCATCCATACACATACACGCTGACCCAGTTAGAAATTATCAAACGCTGGCGGCATTTGCAGCAGCAGCAGCAGCAACAGCAACAGCAGTTTCTCATACATTTTTCATGGACTTTGAGGTGGTCTCCCCGAACCGCCCAAACCCCGCGACCCCAGCCCCAACCAGAGCTGCACCCACAGCACCACAGCCGTGTATTCGTGTATTCCTTGCTGTTGTGCTCGTGTAATTTGCCTGAGACACTCGTCGACAACGGCGACAGCAGCTGCTGGTTACATGGAAATTTCGCATGTTGCACGGAGCAGGGCAACGTAGTCAGGAAAGGATGTTGTCGCAGGATGTGCAAAGACATAAGCTCTTTATGGCATTCGCTTTGGAGGTTATAAAAGAGCGCGTGCTTCACAACACTTGCCATCGCATAAAGGGCTTAATTGATAGCGTTGCGGCTGCCAGAAGGCGTAAAGCATGTGCCACGCCCCACAATCTCACCTCAAAACGAAATCTACCCGAAAAGCATCAAACTAGAGCCCAAAGTTTGATGATGATATAAAAAACGCTTCTTAAATTTACTGAGGCATAAAGTATTGTAAATGCTTGATTCCACATAAAAATGGTTTATATAGGAATAAAGTGCTAGACCCTAGATTGAATGTGTTAAAGGTTCTTTGGCAGAGAAACAAGTAGAAGAATTTTAACAGTTTTTTTATGCTTACCATTTTTTAAGTATTCGCATAGAAATTAAGAATTCAAAAGAATTCATTATTATAATTATTGTTTTGGGCAATTGTCTTTTGATAAGAAATCTATTACCTAAACAATCAAATTGTATTTGCATTAGCTTTTTTTAGTTTATCAAGAAGGTCCCTTGTTATGAGTATTGCTTTGTATGCCATTACACAAATTGAGCATTAATATGGGGTATCATTTCTTTAGCTACTTATATTAACTTAAACCTGTCTTTTACCAAGTCAATATTTAATCTATACAATCGACTTGTATTGACTCAATAAAATTCTCAGCTAGCTAACTGAACTAAATAAAATTCTCTTGAGGGGCATTTTTCTGAATATGCCATTACACAAATTAGGGAAAACTTTGTTCCATGAGCTAGCTGAGCCCTACTTAAATTCCTTCCAATGTCAATTTCGAAGCGCCTTTTAACCAAGTTAGTTTGATTAGCTATCAGCCAGTTGCTGGGCTAATTTAAGGTACATTATCTATCACTCAGTAGCTGCTCGTTACGCACGACATCATCATCATTAACCGACCAAGAGCAGCTCTTAACTGAAACAGTTTTTGGTTGCCTAACATCCAAATGCCAATTAGCTGAAATCGCGACGCTTTCGCTAACTAAATTAACTCTCAGCCTGAGCTCAACGCCCGAGCTTTGACACATTCGAGTGGACCAGACAAGCTCTCCACAGCGTTCATTCAGAGACCTTTTTGCAGCTCTTGAGCTGTAAAGAAAGAAAAAAAACAGAAACTTTGCTCAATTTTTGCCAGCACTTTGCTCAACTACGCAACTTAAAGCGTAAATCAGCTACTTTATGGCTGGGATTTTGGCGTGTACGCTCGCTTTTATGGAACCTACCAGGTTCCATGCGGAGCGGCAACTGGAGTCGCAGTGGGAGTTGGAGTCAGTTCCAATTAGAAATTGCTGGGCCAAAGGACGTCTCATAAATTCTTGGCGGTGTCAAATAATTTAACCTAATTTGACACTTCAAATATGCGGCTTAGGAAGAAGTGGGAGTGAGTGGGAGGTGGGGGCGTTGCTGCCATGTCAGTGTCTGGGCCTGGCCTTATCCTAATTTAAGTGTTTGCGGCAAATTTCTGTGCGTACTTTTGTTGGCTCGTTATGTCTGTTTAATGTATGCGCTGGCCCAACTGCTCCCCACTACCCGTAGTGCCCCTGCGGCAGCTTCAGCTCCTACATGACTTGCGGCAAGAACAATGTGGGTCCTGCGAGGGTCTCTGGACATCTGTTCGCTTGTACAAGTCGCATTTGGGCTGTGGGCTTTGACTCTTGTGTATTTATTTTATTAATATCTTATCCATGTTCTTACATACACACACACACAGATTAACCTACCAGCGTGTTGCACTGAAGGAGATCCGACTGCAGGAGGAGGAGGGCGCCCCATTCACGGCCATACGGGAGGCGTCGCTGCTAAAAGAACTGAAACACAGCAACATTGTGACCCTGCACGACATCGTGCACACCCGCGAGACGCTGACCTTTGTCTTTGAATATGTGGTGAGTAGCGCATTTTAAGGCCGATGCCACTGAGAATTGCCCTACTTAAGCTGATGTGTGTTTCGCCCGCACAGAATACCGATCTATCGCAATATATGGAGAAGCATCCGGGTGGCCTGGACCATCGCAATGTGCGTCTGTTCCTTTTCCAGCTCCTGCGCGGTCTCTCCTACTGCCACAAGCGTCGCGTCCTCCATCGCGATGTTAAGCCACAGAATCTGCTAATCAGCGACTGTGGCGAACTGAAGCTTGCCGATTTTGGTCTGGCCCGTGCCAAGAGCGTGCCCAGCCACACGTATTCACATGAAGTGGTTACGTTATGGTACCGTCCACCAGGTGAGTCCAAATATTAAATAAACACCAGCTGAACATTTTTTGTGTTTTTGCTTGAGTGCATTTGTTAGTTTTGCAACACTGAAAAAACGTTCACATGCTGTTAAGAACTTTTTGAAATGTGAATGATTATCTTCTAGCTGGAGTTAATTAACATTTAGGTTCATAGAACCTCAACTTTTGACAAAATGTGCTTTTTATTTTTCGTAGCAATTCAGATATTCATGGTAATGCAACGCTCAGTGAACTCATTTATTTGTTAGTTTTGCAACACTAAAAGAATTTTAAAAAACTATTAAGAACTTTACAACATATGAAAGTTAATTCTCTTGCTTAAATATAAAACTTATTAAACGTAATGCTAATAGTTAAACTTCATGTTAGATTAACATCCAATAAGAAAAACTTTAATCTTCTTTACACAATTCTGAATGAACTAGAAAATTGTAAATCGCTTTCAGCAAAAAACTTCTTCCGCATAGATAATTACTAGAGGAAAAAAACTGCAAAAAATAAGATTAATATTGGTTTGGGGGTTTTCCATTAAGCATTTTCAATTTTAGCACAGAGCTGAAAACAGATTAATTTTAATATACGACTAAATAGACAACGTCCAATGGGTAAACAATTCATATTGCTTTTTTAGTCTTATACAAATTTCCTATCAATTTGCAGCGCTAAATTGAAAAAAAGCACTAGAGGGATAAATGCTGAGAGAGAGAGAGAGAGGAAGACAGGGAGAGAATAAAAGAGTAGCATAGAGAATAAAGTTAATTTTTTAATATGCAATTCCCTCGACATAAACAGTTTGTGTGAACTCAAGCGGCTGCCAGCTGCCTGCTGCCAGTGGCTACTGCTGCTGCTGGTGCTGCTCCCCAGACTGACCTCAACGGGCAAGTCAAAGCATGTTAAACAAATTTAATCTGCACTTCTTAGCAGACAAGCAGACTCTTGACCAGCGGGTGGCAGGACGAACAGCAGCAACAGCAGCAGCAGCAGCAGCAGCCGAGAGCCAAGTGGATGCATGCAAACGTGCGGATGCGGATGTGGTTGGCCCAAAGTAGTGGGGCTTGGGCTTTGGGTTGGGTTTGTGTGCCCCACCTGTGCCACGTTTTTTGTGTGTGCTCAAAACTTTGTTTAGCCGCTGCTTCAAGGGTCAGCCGAGATAAGCGCTAAGGCGACCTCTGCATGGCTGTCAGTCAGTGTGTCACGCTGTCATTCCATGTGGCTAGCAGGGCGACTGGACTAACAGCTCTGTTTATTTATTTAGAATTGCAATTTATTTTCAAACAAAAAGTGCATTTACCTAACGAAGCAACCACAAACTCTCTTGTCCCTGTTTATGTAGACGTACTGCTGGGCAGCACAGAGTACTCCACCTCGCTGGACATGTGGGGCGTTGGCTGTATATTTGTGGAGATGGTGACTGGTATGCCAACATTCCCGGGCATACGTGATACATACGATCAGCTGGATAAGATATTCAAATTGCTGGGCACGCCCACCGAGGATACGTGGCAGGGCGTCACACATTTCCCAGGCTACAAACCGCACAAGTTGGGTGAGTAATTGGCCAGCAGCATCAGCAGACGAAGCATACGAAGCAGCTGCGCTGGATTTTTTTATTTTTGCAAAACTAATTTGGCTTCATTTGGCTTGCATTGGTGCAGGTTTCTATCGACCACGGAAACTGGGTCACAATTTTCCACGGCTGTACGACATTATCGAGGGCGAGACGATAGCGAACGCGTTCCTGCAGCTCAATCCCGAGCAGCGCATCGGCGCCGAGGAGGCACTGCAGCATCCCTACTTTGCGCAATTGCCAAAGAAACTCTACGAATTGCCAGACGGTAGGAATTTTAAATAGAATTTAAATTTCAAACTAAATGAATATATTAAACATTTACAAGCCAATATTTGGGGCCTGCCGCATTGTCTGACGGTGGCAAAGAAAACCAATTAAAATGCAACACAACAAATTTTGTTTGTCCTCAACTTTTGCAGTTGCCATAAACAGGGCCTCCCTTTGCCTCCCAGCTCTCGGGCGCCTTCCAATTGAACTACACAACTCATTTAAGTTTGTGCGACAAACTTGGCCAGGCAACTGCCTCTTGTCTGTCTGTTGACTGTTTAAATAATGTTTGCCTGGCTAACACAGCTACCAATTTTACTGTTTACAGTTAACACTAATTACACTTTTTGCGTTTTAATTTGTGTGTGCCTCAACTGGACGGACGAAAAAAAAAAAAAAGAAGAAGTTTTTGCAACAAGTCGCAAGTTGCCAAGCGCAACAGTGGAAAGCCCATTTGTGTGTGGCAACTGGCAGCACTCTCAGAGCAACTAGTTAATTTGCCCCAAGCCAGTTAAATGTGCCCAAAAAATGCAGACAAAGCGCAACAGCAGGCACGTGCAAAGAGAGAGAATAGCTTGTAGACAAGTTTAGCTAGGCTCCTGAAAAGACTGTGCAAAGCTACTTTGTTTTTGGCTAGAGAAGCTCTTTATAGCAATATACTTTATACATTTGAGCTATATCACTTTTTTGCCTGAAGATATTTGGAGCATGAGACCTAAGAGTAAAGGCCTGAAAGTAAAGTCAAATAAAACACTTGTGATCCATAATATATTCATTTATTAATGGTATTTTCTTCATATTTTAAAAATGATTAAATTAAATCCAAAGATTGGGAAGACTATCATATCATATATTGAATATACCTATTACACTACTAAAGCTATTATTAGATATTAAGGATTAGATATCCATGGCAGATGAGTCGTCAAAGTAGCCCAAGGCAGTCAAGCAATGGATATCCGGGCACGAGTCGCAATCTAGAAATAAATGAATGTTGAAATATCTGAATCATAGGATATAGTTGCCAGTTTTAGTTTAAAAGTATATAAAACTTGATATAACCTACATATGCCCTATAATAATTGAAATATTTCTAAACTTTCGTGTTTCCGAACATCAAATATTCACATCTAATCCACCTCTTTGAAACTGTGTTTACAGTGTATATCAAGTATTCGCAACCATTTGACTATGTTGTTTATTCTAATCAGCATATTGGGAAATTCTATAAACTATTAACTAATATTCATTGTTTGACTAGAATATTATTTATACATTGACTTAATACTCTATGAATTTCCAATGTCCATTAGTCAAAGCGCTCGTAAATCTCCTGCTGAATCCTCATGGCAAACGCATTCAGCAAAAATCGTTTAAGCAAAATAAGTTTCAGCAGCTTTCTGCATTAATTACGCTCGGCTCAATCCGGCATGCGATTTGCAATTGTAAATGGAAATAATTTGGCCCAATGGAGCCGCCTGTTTGGGAAAAACATTATTCGGAATATACCAAACGATGCATCGAACGTTGCAATTTGCCAAGTGCATTCATTGGCCCGGCGCAAAGGAGGAGCCTCTCGAGGCCTTGGCCGGGTAATGAATGCAGCCGAATGTGAGGGGAGGGGCCTAGACTAATGTCCATTTAATGGCCGGGTAGCTTAATGTGCGCTTAAAATGTGATTAACTGTGATTTGTATATATGCCCACATCCATCTAAACATCCGGCGCACTCTTGGCTGTTTACAAAACTTGTAAATATGCTAATTTTGGTCAAAATTGAAATCAGAGCTCACAGGTAGACTCAACTGCTGTTTGTTCATTAAACATGCTCTCTCCCTAACTTTCTCTCCCGCATTCACCCCTGTTGCGGTTGCAGCTTTAACAGTTTTCAGATAAAATCAATTAAAACGCAACTAATGTGCGGCATTTATCATGGTGCCCAGCAGCCGGATAAGGTCAATGCACAGCCAAAAACCGCAGCAGTTGAGCGTGTGAGCATTGCGGTTTTCCCGGGGTTCCACAGTACAGGGCGTTCGAGTGCGTGGGTGTGGCACATACACCCTTTCGGCAAAATGAAATTTGCATTGCATTTAAATTGCCAGCCTGCTTGTCTGCGAGTATATTAAATAATATCCAGTGAACAAATGTTGTCATACTGTTAAAGTTTTTAATTAAGAAAAAAAATGAAAAAAAAAATGGAATTATGATAATAAATTGCACATATTATTTACTCTTCGCAGAAACCTCAATTTTCACCGTGGAAGGCGTGCAGCTGCATACGGAACCGAATCGACAGAATAAATGAAAATTAAAGCAGGTCCTCTCAGTGGATGGCGTACGTTTCTATTGTTAGACCAATATACGATCTACAACAAATATCAGCCCAACAACAACCCAGCTACACCCAGCAACTAAACAACCCACAAAACAACCCAGCAAACAACTCAGCAACAAATAACAACAACAACAACAATAACAACTACAACAACTACAATCGGCAGCCATAATGAAGAGTGTACGAAAAATAACAAGTTTTCTACCATAATTTGTCAAATTCTTGCTTCGATTTCAGATTGTAAATTTTAGTGGGCGTGCGAGAGGAGTGTGAAGCGGAAAATGGGGGAGGGGGGCGGCGGCAACAGCGGCAGCATTTCAGTCAAATTCGTGCCTGGGCATTAGTTAGTTTAGTTATTTAAGCTATCAACGTCGACTTCTTAGCGCCTTCCACAATAAGGATACTCAGTTTAGTCAAATATTGTTTTGCGCAACAGGAGCACAGGAGTTTATTTTTTTTTTGTAAATTTATACTAGAGCTATTTTTTCTGCAAGAAAACGTTTTTGTGCAAGTATTGTGTTTTCATTTCTCTAGGTTTTTGATTAAGCAAAAAGCAAATATTCTAGATTTTTCTGTTGTGCTGTCTGTGTATACAAAATGAAAAAATCCAATTATTCCTTGTGTTTGTTTTTCGTTTCTAAAAAAAAAAAAACATATATAGTGCTGTGTTTGCTTCTACAGGGACATGTTTAATAGGGTTTCTCAAAAGTAAAGTTACAAAATTGAAATTAATATTAAATCAAGTCGAAAATTGTCTTATTTCTTGTATGCACGCAAATCATAAATTTAAGTTTAAGTAGTTGCATTCAATTTATCTCTGTGTTTCCAACTGACTAGCACAACCATTTCCTTATGGGTATGAGTCAAGACCCCGGGCCACCTAAGACAAGTTTATAGTTCCGATAAAGAAATCATCTAAAACCTCATGCCTAACTATAGTACTTTCACAATTCAATAAATATCATAGATTCAGGTGTCTGCAAATGTCGCAAGCATAAACAGATCCTATTATATATATACATATGTGTGAATGTGTATGCATATTCCTTCCTTCGAACAACTATAAACTATAGCGTATATTTGTTGCAAATGTCTGTGAGAGTATTTAATTGTCGGCTTGCGCCGATAGCCAGCTCTTGATTGTTTCATTTATATACTATATTATTATTTTGAACGCTCTTTTGTCATTTAAAAGAAAATTTTGCTGCGCTGTTTAAGTGATACATTTTTAATTATTATTAATTAAAAAAACAAATAATAAATGAATTTATGTATAAAGCAAACAATTAAAAAACAAATAAATTTAAATCATTTATACCGTATCGTTTGCTCTTGTTTCATATTTATTTCATTTATGTTCTTCTATATTAAAATACTTTTATGATTTCAGTGTCGCTGCTGTCCCAGAACCCAAAATTTGTCATACGAAATCGAACGAATTCCTAGTAAATAATAATAATAAGCTAAAAATAATAATAAAATCCGGATAAAGCTGTTGAAGTAGTTACATAAAAGATAAAACTAAATCATGGAAACACCACCAGGAGAGGGGGTGAGTAGAAATTCCACCCGGAGGAGATTTAGAGCATATAGTTGATACAATAATAAACATTTTTGAAGCAAATCGAAACGAATGAATAGTTAAACTCAAATTAAACTAGAATTGAAAAAGTAGTAGTAAAAACGTTTTTAGCAGCAACAGCAAATAAATTCTAAATAAAATAGTCAACCAACTAAAGCTAACATTTAAAATAACCTAACCAAGTATTTTACATAGTGTCGTAGTTAAAATGAAATCCAATCAATCCATTTCCATGTTTAATGAAACGTTACGCAACACACACAAAAGATGAGAGGACAAAGGGTAGAGTTCAGGAGAGAAATAACTAAATGTGCAAACTTAAATCAAAGACACTTCAAATGGTTTTGAAAGGTAAATGAATCAAAATGAATATCGGCGTGTAGAAGTGTAAGCAACAAAATAAACGTAGAGCAAAATATGTTAACAATTATTTACTTAAATCAATGCAAATTCTTGAGCAAAATGCAATTGCCAGTGGCGCCCTCTGTGGCCTAATGGCCAACAACTTTTATGATGAAAAAAGAAAACCAAAAAATATATCAAGAACATAAACGAATCGAGTTTAGAGTAAATTTGAATGAAATTACGACAGCGTCAAAGTAATGAATATTCTAAAAACATTTTAAAAGTCAGACACGCGCTTTTCAACACTGGCCGACAATGTGCATTAACTTTGCGCAGTAACTGTTCCAGGCGGTCGACGTTTTAAAGCGCGCGCGTTTTAGCAGCGTTTATAAGCGCAACAACAACAAAATTATATTTTGTAGTAGAAAATGAAAAACTCGATTATTTAAATAAAAAAGAATACATTAAATAGCGAAAAACAAAGAAAAAAAAAAAAACAAAAAATTTAATGAGAAAACTTTTTCTGTGATTTATGAAAAAAGTATGCAAAACCTAAAACAAGAATATGCAGAAAATTAAAAAAAAAAAGAAAGGAAAAAAACAAACAATTTAAAAATAAACTAGAGAAAAGAGTAAACAGTAAACCACATGAAAAATAAGCACTTTAGAACGAACCAAATTAGATGCTGAGCCAAACGAAATTGTTTAGAGTTATTTGCTAGCAAAAATGAATAGAAGACAACAATTGCACGCACGAACAAATTTTCAAAGCAAACCGCAAACGAAACGAAAATTGAAATTGCAAAAAATTCTTAGCACTTAATCGTATAAACATTTCGTATTGTTTGTAATTTGTTTTGATTATGACGAGCTCACATTGAGTAAAAATTTAGCAACAGAAGAAACAAAAAGAAGCAAGCAACATTTTCAAAAAGAAAATCCAAAAAAAGGTAACATTTTTATAAAACACGAAACTGTTTCGAGCAATGGAATGCACTTTTCGCACTTTTCCCATCCCGAGGTTACGTCCATAGTTTATAAGCCAAAGAGCCAATGAACAAATCGAACGAAACGCAATGATGAGCGCGATTTTTATTTAGCAATTATTTTCGATGATCAGACATTGATCAAACGATGGATTCTTATTGAGTTCTGCAACAGGGCATCAGTTATATATATATATATATATATATATATACATAGGCAACCTTTGTGTATGTAAATCTTGTTTTCATTGCACACAAAACACAAATTGGAGAGAAGCATTAAGCTATAGAATATTAACTAAAGTAATCACAAAATTGTAATAAATAAGAATGTTTTTAGCTGAACGTGTCTCTAGATGTATTCAATAGTAGCTAAGCGGTAAGGGTTCCCTCAAGTGAACCCGCAGGAACGAAAGGTAAAAATCTATATGAAATGGCATCTCGAAACTCAGAACTCGAAGTAAACAAGTCGAATGAGGTATAACTAAATTATTTTTAATGCATTGAATTTGTCGTAAATATTTAACGTACCTTTGTTAAAAACAAAACAAAACAAAAATTGAACATATTAAAATATAAAAAAATAATAACAAATCTATTACCACAAGACGCAAACAAGAGTCGATCGAAATTACAAATAAATAAATATATATATATATGCGTCTATATATATATATATATTTATTTTGTTCTCTCGGCGGTATGTAGACGCGTGTAGTTTTTATGTTTACACTGTAAGCATTTTTTGTATAGTTGAAAGGGCAAAGGGTTAAACTCGCCTCGCACCACAGCCCCCGCGGTCCACATACGGCAGCGAGGGGCAGCGACAAAATGAGATTAACATAAATAATTTTTTTGTAAATATCTGTAGTTGATTTCTAAGTAGCGAAAAAGAAAATCGAAACAAAACAAGACGAAACCAAAACCAAAATGGCAAAGAACCCAAATTGAATGTTTATGATTTAATACAAATGAATAATGAATGATAACTAAATACAATTTGAATAAGTTCAACCTGTACAATAATTTAATATTAAATAAAACGCAAGAAACCAAACAAAAGTCAAATGAAAACTACAAATTTCAATTGCTCTTGGACCTGCAAACAAGTATATATAGCTATGAATATAGACATATATACATATATATTTAAGCAGCTGCTGCTTTGACACACTTCGGAATGCAAGGCTGTTGGTCGCTGAATTGATGAATGTTTCAGTCGTTGTGTCTCCAAACGCATAAATAACAATGAAAACTAATAACATTTGATGACGACAAATAAAATAGTTTATGCGCAAGCTAATTGATACAATTGAAGTACTTTTGCTCTTCATTGAGATTCAGTTTGCGCTATATTTCGCAAATCTCCCACAATTAAGACTTTCAGAGTTGTGCTGAGCTATAATTATGCAAATGACACAACTCTTTTTTTGGGCAACTAGCCCCGAGGCATGGCATCAAGCAACTTTTTTGTTTTTTACTATAAATTGTTCATATTTTTTTTTGATTTATTTTTGCCCATGAGTTTGCGTCATCGACTTGGCCAATCATCCGCCTGGCTGCAGTCAAAGTCTATCGTTTCTCTGCCCGCTAAAGGTCTATCAGAGTTGGTGCATCTGCGCACGACTCCGCCAGCTGTTTGATGCCAGCTGCAAAAGGCAAAAGGTTTCCACAGTGCACGATGACCGGTAAAAACCTTCAAAAACCCATAACAGACAGCAACAATTGCTTGGTAATTTAGCAGCAACTACAAGCAACAACAAAATGACATAATCCAGAAAGCTGTAAAGCATTATCATCTAAAAGGTAACTTATTGTGAGCACAAACTATATACATATATAGATGTATATTTGTGATGACGCATGAAATTAAATCTTTCTGTTTATAAATAGGCACAAATGGTAAGTACAAATTAAAACGGGAAGAACAGTACTTCGCAGGTGCCGACTCTTACAAATCCGGTTATTTAACTGGCACATGCTGAAGTTATCTTAGGTCAACAAATGTCTTGAAAAATGACTTACTGTAAGAAAGACAGGGTTTTGGAAAATGAAAATCACAAGTAGATATAATTGGTACTCAAATATGGCCCAACTTACTTTTAACTGAGATATTTGAATCTTCACATTTTTCGAAAACTTTTAATGTCCAAAAAACGTATTAGTAGTACATATTAGAAGATTTAGTAGTATTAAAAGTACTAGTTGTATAGTAGTATTAGTTGTATTAGTAGCATTAGTGTTACTTCCTTTGTCTAAAATGGCGTCGGTCCGCAAATAAGAATTTTTCGATTTCTTTTTGTTCTCGGTTAAATATTGTCTACCTTTTTAAATTCGTACGGATCCCTACTATCAATAAACTTTTCAACAAATTAAAAATCGATGGGCTAAAAATAGTTGTGGCCAAAAAAGGTTCGTTTGTAAAATCAACATTTTTTGAAGATTATTTTGGAATATCTCGGGTAAATAACATTTGATTTGTAAATTCAATACCTTTTTGAATTCGTACGAAAGACATATTGATTGGCATTTAATTTAAAGTTCATAAAAATGTATAACATTCCTAATTCGGGCATTGTTGACCCGAGATAATAAGACATGGACATAATATAATCAGTAACTGATCTCTATTCATGGTACCTAGTTGACCTATATATCCTTGGTTATTCCATATCATTGATATAGTCCTAGCGAACCTAAAGGACAACGTTCTCGCAAAATTCGCAAGAACATTGTTCAAAATTATGTATGCTTTTCTTTTACAGCCGCCCCACCCCTGCATGGTTTCTAGTTGACTAGTTTATCCTTGGTTACACCATACCATCGATATAGTCCTTGGGAACCTAAAGGATTAGATCCCTGCAAAATTTGCATTGAAATGGTCCAAAAACATGTATGATTTTTCTTTCAGGAGCCCTTTTACATTAGCTGCGGCTGCAGCTGTTGTTTAACAGCCGGCTTACAGCACTTATTTTACATAAACTGCTAATTACCAGCACTCATTTTAATTGAGTTACATTTTTGCCCCTTTATGCTATGCAATGAAAATTTTTATTCAAACCACTCGTCGACCTTCTGGGCATTTATGTTCGCCTGGTATTTGAGTGGAATTTTAGGGCAAATTTGGGGCGTAGCCGCCAACCAGGGCGCCCCGTGAGGGTATGCAACGATTCTATTCGGACGTAAAAATATTGTACGTCGACCTTCTGTGCATTTCTGTTCGCCTGGTATTTCTGGGAAATTTTAGTTAAAATTTGGGACTTGCCGAGGGCGCCCTTTTGGGTATGCAATGAAATTTTGTATGCAATTAAAAATATTTTTTTCGACCTTCTGGGCATTTCTGTTCGCCTGGTATTTTGGCAGATTTTAAGAAAAATCTCGGCAACTTTTTCGCGCGGAGATATGACGTTCTAAAACGACATAACTCCGCGCGGAGATATGACATTCCAAAACGACATAACTCCGCGCGGAGATATGACATTCCAAAACGACATAACTCCGCGCGGAGATATGACATTCCAAAACGACATAACTCCGCGCGGAGATATGACGTTCCAAAACGACATAACTCCGCGCGGAGATATGACGTTCCAAAACGACATAACTCCGCGCGGAGATATGACGTTCCAAAACGACATAACTCCGCGCGGAGATATGACGTTCCAAAACGACATAACTCCGCGCGGAGATATGACGTTCCAAAACGACATAACTCCGCGCGGAGATATGACGTTCCAAAACGACATAACTCCGCGCGGAGATATGACGTTCCAAAACGATATAACTCCGCGCGGAGATATGACGTTCCAAAACGATATAACTCCGCGCGGAGATATGACGTTCCAAAACGACATAACTCCGCGTGGAGATATGACGTTCCAAAACGACATAACTCCGCGCGGAGATATGACATTCCAAAACGACATAACTCCGCGCGGAGATATGACGTTCCAAAACGACATAACTCCGCGCGGAGATATGACATTCCAAAACGACATAACTCCGCGCGGAGATATGACGTTCCAAAACGACATAACTCCGCGCGGAGATATGACATTCCAAAACGACATAACTCCGCGCGGAGATATGACGTTCCAAAACGACATAACTCCGCGCGGAGATATGACATTCCAAAACGACATAACTCCGCGCGGTGATACGACGTTCCAAAACGACATAACTCCGCGCTGTGATATGACGTTCTAAAACGACATAACTCCGCGCGGAGATATGACATTCCAAAACGACATAACTCCGCGCGGTGATACGACGTTCCAAAACGACATAACTCCGCGCTGTGATATGACGTTCTAAAACGACATAACTCCGCGCGGAGATATGACATTCCAAAACGACATAACTCCGCGCGGTGATACGACGTTCCAAAACGACATAACTCCGCGCTGTGATATGACGTTCTAAAACGACATAACTCCGCGCGGAGATATGACATTCCAAAACGACATAGC